AAAAAAAAAAAAAAAAAAAAAAAAAAAAAAAAAAAAAAAAAAAAAAAAAAAAAAAAACACCATGGTTTAGCAACTTTAGGCAAGTAAGATACCTTAAAACTTAGATATTACATGTATGCAATTGCTCCCTCGCACTTTCCACCGATAGCATCTTCTTGCCCAAGATTTTTGTATATCCTCGTAAGAACCTCGCCTATATACTTCCATGACTTGGTATTTCTTTCAAAACTACGAAACTACGATTCCCCTTCCTCTGGCAATAAAATTAATTCACTGTGTCTTCCTTTTGCGAAGAAGGAAGAGAAAACCCTCGAACGTCCGCTGGCTCCACACACAGACCAGGAGAACCCACTTCTGATGCCAATTGTTCAGAAGACAATTAATTGTCTTAAGATTTCGCAAAGCCGTATAAGTCACAGGATTCTCTCAGTCTAATGTTATCTTTTCTCGTCACTATGTAGAGTGAGCTAGTATTTAGAGACAAGTCAAAAGCGGGGATTGTCATCAAAATGGCCAATCACAGCATGATTGCTTTTAAATGGTCCTATTGGCAAGCAGAGGACTTCAGTCGCTACGGTCATCTTTAGCGAGAATTGTCATGAACTAATTTTAAGAGGTCCGCGGCGAAGCTGTATTTCCGCGGTTACTTGACCCCAGATGGTTCTACAAAAGCCGCGCATGTCCTGAGCAGAACCACGGTAGAACCACCATCCCTGAATCGCTCTAAGACAAAAAGACCTGTATCAAAACTCTTCGAACACTGTCAACGCAGTATGGGGATCAGCGCAATGGCTGAAAATTTCACTGAGATCTCTCCGGCAATTCTCTACTGGGGCACTCCAGTCTGTCTCATCACAACTACGAATCCAGATGGAAGCCACAATATTGGTCCTATACCTTCAATTTTTTGGCTGAGTCATAGCTGCATGATCGGACTGGATGCTAGCAGCCAGACTACAGGAAACATTCAAAGGAATGGGCACTGCACGCTCAACCTGCCCTCTGACGACATGAAACACGCCGTCAACGCCATTGCAAGAACGACAGGCAGCAGTCCCGTACCCGACAGTAAACAGGTTCGCGGTTATACACACGTTAAGGACAAGTTCAGATGTGCAAACGTCACTCCACTACCATCGTTAAAGATCGCGTCGCCCGGCATTACGGAATGCCCTGTCGTGATGGAAGCTGAGCTCGTGAACACGCATAAGATGTTCAAAGGCCTGCCGATTTTCGGGGGCATATTGGTCTTCGAACTGCGAATCGTCAACGTCAGAATACACCGAGGCTTAAAGCTGGACGGATATCAGAACCGCGTTGACGCTGAAAAGTGGAAGCCTATGATCATGATGTTTTCTGAACTGTACGGACTACGGGAGGGTAAGCTGGTGGAGTCAAAACTGGCCAAGATCGAGGAGGAGTGTACCGGCCATTTACCGGATCTGAGGCTTAAGGCAAACACGTATAAAAGGACACACTTTAAAAGCGGGAGTAGAAAACTGGCTTGTAGACATATTACAAACATTCTGAACCGGAAGATGATCTTGATGCCTTGAATTTCCTTCTTGTCCGTTTATGAGCGACTCAAGGTCAGCTTTCTGATGGAGAAATGTGCTTCCGCCAAGTAGCTATGTCTTCACTTGCATCTGAATCGTTGCCCCTAATGTACACTGCCTTGGTGAAGATGACGAGCTATTGCTATGAGGCGCTAAAACATCTTGTCCTCCTAGGAGTGTAAAATACCAGCACAAAGGCTACCTGTCGAGACGGGGCCGTAGCTACAGTGAAAGAGTCAATGTTGAAGAACTTGATCGAATGGAACGATATCTCTCCTCCACGGAACGTGATCATGCTAAATGCCATCTTTCAACAAAGACTTCTTCCTGAGTTCGCTCTTCCATTGCTCTATGAAATCACTGGTCAGCTTGTGCATTTCCAACGCATACGAGCTTGTAGGGTCCTCCATCACCCTCCACTCATAGCCCTTGTTCGCCCATATCGTTGCTGACTGCCAATCCTCCACTCTAGCAAAACTGAGCGCGGCCGTTCTGTACGCAGTGGCGTAGTAATCCGCCAAGCCTTCCTTTTCAACGAGCTCAGCCAGTTGAGCACTCAATCTGGCATCCTCTGCTGCCTGCTTCTTTGCTTCGTTGTCGGCTGGCACGCCAAGTGTCAGCTGTGGAGCAAGTTTTACGAACCCTTTCTTTATCGTCGTCCGTCTCCTGTCACTTTCGCGCCTGGCCTTTTTCCTGGCTGAGCAAACTTCGCAATTGCAAGTGAAACCGTAGGGCTTGAGCAGCTTTTGTCTTTCCTCCTGAGGAAGTAACAGTGATATATACGAGTCCAATATCTCCTCGCCCTTTTTGATCTTGCGGTTCGCGTACATAACCCTTAAATTTAGCTGCGCGTTCCAGTAGTAACTTGTGTTCGGCCGGCAGGAGTGGTTTATCCGTGCGATCTTTGGGAAGAGTCCAATCTCTTCTCCACTCTTATAGGCATTTGTCCTAAATATGAGGCCTAGCGGATCGCTAGCGTTTTTCTCTTCTTCCGTACCATAGTACGCTAAACTCATGACTTCCTCTTGATCCTCGGTCGATAGAAAAGCGTAGTCCTGTCTTAACATTTGACTGACTGCAGCCATTGGATATCCCGACCCCTTTGCATATTTTGGTGGCTTGATCTTGAGTATTGGAGCTTCGCGCATTATGACCGTACCAACTTCAAGGTCGTGAAGAGCAAAGACGCCGAGCCCTTTTCCAGGACTCATCCGAATTTGATAGATATTTGTTTGTCCGTGACATGTGTGGTTCAAGGCTTTTAGTGATAGTAAATTTGAGATATCATGCTTTTTCCCCGTGAAATACGAGCATGTGGACGGGTATGTAGCAGCGGCCACAGATAGAAGATAAGAGCTTAAGAGGATGAGCAAATTGACCATTTTGACCGAGTCATTTTCTGCTCTGAAGATAATTCAGTGACTGTAGATTGTCTATCCTGGAGGTGGAATCTGCTAATGTGTATATGTGAACATTCTCTCAACGAAAAATAGTCTCAGGTGTTTGAAACACGTTTCGCGCGCTTACTGTCGCAGCAATATCCTGCTCGTGTTGATGCCATTTTTTGTCCTGTTAAGTCACTGTTATAAACTTTTAAAATCTAAAGGTTGAGTACTGTTCGTCATTTTCAAGGACTTGTTCATATCTAATGTGTAGTAAAAATTCCAGGCTTGTCCAGAAAATAAAGATGACGATGATTCACGTGATCGAAATCCTGGGGAGACCACCTTTATTAGAGAACGTGGTTGCATTCGTGTCCACTGGACACTCTTTGTCAAAAGATGCAGAGGGACAGATTGCCGAGCTCATTCTCATTCGATATAATTCAGTAAATTAGAACTGCTTTTTTATCTCGAGCATTTAGGAGTACTGAATAAGATCCCAGAGGTTGCCGTAAAGATCTCTCCAGACGGCAACCCTTCCGTATGACTCGACTTTCGGTTGTCGCACCCATTGCACGCCCATTTCCGAAAAGTGTTTGAAATCCCTTTCAAAATCATCGGTTACCAAGAACAAGAATACTCTTCCTCCTGCCTGATTGCCAATGAACTTTTCTTGTTCGGCGTTGCTTGCTCGCGCGAGCAGAATTGTCGCGCCTTGAGACTGTCCTTCACTACTGGAATGGGAATCTCGCTGTGGTATGAGACCACCCATGGTAGTTGAAGAACTGGTCACTGGTGGGCGGATAACGACCCATCTTTTTTGTTGCTCCGGTATAGTAGTGTCCTCTATGAGTTCGAAGCCCAAGCGTGTGTAGAACTCTATCGCTTCGTCATAATCTCGAACAATAAGGGAGATGTGGGCTAAATACGGCATGACGGTCAACGAGTCCTTTTTCGATTCGTCTGAAAACCGTTGAAATGAATAAAAGGACACGGATCCTCTCGCACCGGTGTTACATAAGATTGCGTTTTAGTCAAGGGAGTAAGCCAGCATGATGAAATCAACGCTTTTCTCACGATGATCACACCCTCTTGGCAGCTCGTGACGTGCACCTAGACTACAAACACGTAAACTATAGATTCGTCCTTGCGGCGATGCATTCTCCAATGTGGAACTCAAAAGCAATGTGTTATGCCATGATGAACTCATAGAAGAAGAAAACAGCCTTTCTGCACTTGCACGCATACGCTTTTCCTCTATCATTCACTCGCACAACTCATCTAGTGGCCAGCAATTGGCTTGGGCAGATATGGTTCTTCCAAATATTTGATTTCCTCCGGCGTTAACTTCACCTTTAGGCTTTCACAGGCTTCATCTATCCTCTGCTTTGAATTCATACCCAAAATCGGGCAGAAGCCTTTGCTCAAGGAATAAGCGGTTGCAATCTTGGCCATGCTTTCGCCCTTTCTCTTCGCGATCTCCTCCACCCTATTGACTATTTTCTCATCCTGTCAACACGCTATCAGCACGCGCACATCATTAAGCATTGGCAGAGTTTTGACAAAGCTGAACCTACAATTTCAGTTTCCCGACCACGAACCATGGTCTTTAGGAAGTTATCTGAGTTTTCTCGTAGAGTATTTCGAGACCTGAACGGCCTGGCAAGCACACCACGCGCGATTGGTGACCACGGGATGATACCAACGCCGGTAGCTTTGCAGTATGGAATCATCTCTCGCTCTTCTTCGCGGTACAGAAGATTGTGGAAGTTCTGCATTGAGATGAATTTGTGCCAGCCGTTCTTCTCAGCGATGTTCTGCAGGCTTTGGAATTCCCACGCGGCCATCTGGCGTTTGAATTAGCTGTGCTGGAAACTGTGGATATCCACCGCAAGCACATACAGAAGAGGCGCCGATGTACCGGACCATACCAGTGTTAACTACATCGTTCAGCGCGCGCATGATCTCCTCCTTAGGCGTCTCGCGATCCAGGCGATGGATTTGCAGCACGTCTATATATGTGCCTAATCTCTTCACACTATTCTCCACGGAATCAAAGATATTCTTCCGGCTCAAGCCTTGTCTGTTCACCCACAATCCATCATTCTTGCTCACCTCAGCGATGCTGGGCTGTGCGCCCTCCACAAGCGTGACACCGAAGTAGCACTTAGTCAAGATGACAAGTGAGGAGCGTGGGATATTGTAGTGTTTGATGGCTTTGCCGATGATCTCTTCAGATCGGCCGTTGCTGTACACATTTGCAGTGTCCCAGGTGTTGATCCCAAGGTCGTAGGCGTGTTTGAGCAAAGGCAGTGCGTCATCTTCATTAAGAACCCATTCTTGCCAGTCACTAGAACCGTAGGACATTGCCCCCAGTATGATTTTGGATACCTTGAGTCCCGAATTTCCTAGGCTAGGGAGCCTTTAGCATCAAAGTTCACGCTTAAGTTGCTTGATTGTTTGTAGCGTACTTTTGATACTCCATTTGGAGCTTTCGATTCATTGCTACAGCCATCTCGACGTATAAGCAGCTGGCTACCTTTCTTTGGGATTGAGAGATTTAAAGGTCAAGTAAATTTGAACGACAGAACCAATACCAAAGTTTCTCTTAAGCTATAGTTAGAGTCACTGTCAATCAGCGGCAGAGGAATGCCGAGACCTGTTTAAATACCCCACCGCCGACTGCTGACTGGGTCTATGAAGACGCCGATATATATCGGTGCCCACGCAAACGCCGCTTAAATCCATCTCTTGAACCCCATCCCGATCCAGGAAGGTGGAGAAATTATTAGTAATATGAGATGATGGAGGACGATGATCCTGCTCAGAAGCGCATGCTATTGAAGCTGCTGAAGCTCCCGTATCCCCGGATTGGTGGTCAAAGCTGTTCGGGTGCTGTTCCTGTGCTGGAGACCAAAGCTGCGAAATGACGAAACCTTACCCTAAACACAGTCTCAACGGCCATTGAAATCGACTATCTACATTTATCATGTCACTACGTCTATCTATGCAGAAGACGTCCTTGTCAACCGCTGCGGCAACGAGCAGACTGTCCATTCGATGCGCAAGATGGTCAGAGCAAGTCTTCTCCACCAAACTATGAAAGTTGCTAAAACCTTACTTGCAGTAGGGTACGATCGCCTATCTCGACACAAAAACCAGCACGTCTTTTGGCGCCTGCTGCAACGAGGCCTTTCTCGGCATCTTCAATAGCCTTCAAGAAGTCTGGCAAAAACAATCGAGGCAAAGAAAAGGTGGACAACAATCCTCGCGACGATCGCGCCTCACGAGAGGCAGCGGCTGTCGAGGCATTTGATTTCTCCGACCTAGAGTCACAAATTCTGAAGGCAATAGAGCATCTCACGCACGAGCTATCTCAGCTGCGAGCAGGCGGTCGTTTCAACCCTGAAAAGCTCGAAGCGCTCAAGGTCACAATACAGGACGGTGAGAGCAAGAGGACAGAGCGCGTGAAGGATCTTGCGCAGGTCATCGCAAAGGGTCGAAATGTCCAAATCTTAGCGCATGACAAGTCATTTGTCAAGCCCATCAATTCTGCCATTCTCACATCAAGCCTTAACTTGACTCCTCATGGACCGACACCCGATCAACCCACCAAGTTGACGATACAAGTTCCACCGCCGACCGGCGAGAGCAGGCAAAAGGCGTTAGAAGAGACGAAGAAGGCAGAGGAAGTTGCGTTGGGAAAGATTAGGGAAGCGAGGGGGAAGCATCAGAAGAAGCTTAGGGCTATGGCGATCAGTGAAACTCTGCGGCCAGATGATCTGCAGAAGGCTCAGAAGTTGATGGATGAGGTCGCAAAAAGAGGGAACGAGGATGTGAAGAAAGTCGTCAATGACGCTAGAAAGGTCTTGGAGTCGGCATAGTGCATGAGCGTACGAAAATAACCAGAGAAGAGAAGAATCAGCGAAGGGGAAAATTTTTAGCTATGTGTATCTGTATATGGACTATCATATAGTGGCATCATTGCATGGGGACACCATAGCCCTTTTACAGTTTGCTCGGCTGCCATATCGGCTTCTTCTTCTGCGCGAACGCAGTCAGCCCAATCATGGTATTCGGTGCCGCTGCCAACGCCGCACCGTATTTCTCGTTCGTCAGCTGTGACGCTCTCTCCACGCTAGCTGTCTCCAGAGCCTGTCTCAACCCAGACCTTGTCACAATCACGGCATCGGGGCTCATATCGCCAATGGATGCTGCTAGGTCAACGGCTTCTTGCACAACAGATTCGTGCGTTTTGGAAACCTTGTTGATGATCTGGAATCTGAGAGCTTCTTCAGCGGTAAGGACGCGGCCGGCAAGTGCGACTTCGGTTGCGATGGGAAGGCCGGTAATGCGAACAAGACGAGAAAGACCACCTGCGCCGGCAAACAAGCCACGCTTTGCTTCTGGGAGGCCGAAGGTAGCGCGTGGTGAGGCAACTATCATATCACTGTTCCACTCATAAACATTAGCTATCGTCAACAGTCGTCCGATGTGACATGAGAAGGCAGAGAACGCACCATCCAAGCACAATCTCAAAGCCCCCGCCTAGGGCGAAACCGTTCACGGCGGCAATGACTGGTTTTTTACCCACACGCCTGCTAATTCCCATGAAGCCATTCGGTGGGTGTGTCATCATCTGGCGTGGTTGCGGGTTCTTCTTCACCTCTCCTTGCTCAATGAGGTCTTGACCGGCGCAAAAAGCTTTATCTCCTGCACCAGTGACCACAACGACGCGGAGGCTGGGCTCGTTATCGAACCATTGCATGATAGAATCGGCCTCCCAGTGTGCAGCGTAGGGTAGCGAGTTCATCCGCGTCGGACGGTTGATTGTGATGAGCAGAACCTGACATTTGGCAAATTAGCCGTGGCAGAATTGACCACGAGCTTGAGAAAAGGGACGCGACTGTTCAAGCTTGAAACTTATTTGGGAATACTACACAATTCATCCGTGTACACAGCGGCGAGGATTTAAGAACAGTCACGTACATGATCAGCAGGATAAGACAAGATATAGTTAGATGTTTTGGGTGGGTTGGATGACGGCTTGAACGACGACATGATTTTAAATTCTTTGTGAATGAACGGGACAATTGACTGTGGATTAACAACTTTGAAAATTAATGTACAAGCTCCAATTCAGAGCGTTTCTGGAATACCTTCACATAGCGCAACAGCGCTGGGGTTCAAGAGGGTATATGTGGGGAAGAGACATTGCCGCGGGTGCTCGGCAAGTGGTTCAACGCTCTGGCTGAATACTTCCTTGAACCGTAGTTTGAGGCACGACGAGATGAGAATTACGCTGGACAATTATCTGAGGCCGCCAGCTCACGATTTTGTGGCGTGAATGTGATTAGAGCAAAGGATTATCAATTGGTCCCAGAGCTCTTCTTGTCCGACTGAACTTGCTGGATATCGCACCGAACTGCAATAATGTTTTCAATGAGACTATAATCGGAACAAGATGGAAGTCAGAGATCAGGCCTTTCAGCAGGTGCTGTCTTCAATGAACCTCTTACGGTCATGCTCAAGTCTGACCAGCAACAGTTGAAACCCGCCTGCGTTAAATTAAGCGAGTCGGCGCTTAGGTTCATGAGCAAGACCAGCAAAGATGCACAAGAAGTCACTACAGATCTCAATCAGTTGCTCAAAGTGTTACGCGCAGTCTCCATCGAAAAAAATTCCTTGAACAATAAACTAGCGGAATATGTCTTCTTTCCACTCTCCAACGTTCTTAGGTCGCTTGAGAAGCTACCACTACACGCTCGTGAGCTTACATTCGATTGCATTCTCATACTTCTGCAACATGCGTGGTCGAGAAATATTGCACCAGAACTTGGTATGCAACTTCTGATTCTTTATTCATTTGTTGCCGAGCAGGATTCTACGAGCAAGTCAGAGGAGCTACAAACCACGATTTTCAAATCTTTTGCTATTGTGTTTACTGCCCTTGGGGAGAGCCTGGCGAATGCACAAAACATTCCGCACCTGGGGAAAGCCGTATCACTTATCTTGGAGAGGGGCGTTTTAGGTGGTGGCTGCGAAGAAGTCCAAGTTGCTGCAGTCGTTGCTCTCAATGCTTTTGTCCGTGCTTTAGGCCCTTCAAACCGAGATGCTTTGGGCACAAGCTTCTTACCTGGAATCGTTAGTGGCCTTGCGAAAGTGCTGAGTGGAGGCACTGGTAAGAAAACGTGGTCAATTGCCAGCGCGGAAGCGTTACGTCTTTTGACATATATTTTTCCGTTATTGTTTGGAGACGCTTTCGTTCAGAACTTACCGGATGAGGATGAGAAAGGATTGAGCAAGAAATGGGCAAAGGCGACAGCTGGACAGATCAAGATGGCACTAGCTAACATCATGAAACTTCAGATGCATGACAGGCAGAATGTTAGGCTTGCTCTAGGCGAACTCTGCGTAGCAATACTACGATACTGTCCAGTTTCTTTAGCAGATAGCGTGAGCATGGTCCTAGAAGCGACTTTGACACTGGCAACGCAAGAGGCCCGTCTTGAAGCCGAATTGCGACACCTCTTGACGACGCAAACGGAATTCGCAGAAACTCTGCAATCAAGTCTGCATTACTGGATCATGTCTTTGCCCCGGCTTATGGATTCAGCTGATGAGACGAAGAAACACCGGCGCATTCACCAGATCACTCTTTCCTTTCGTTTATTGAAGGATCAAGGCCTTGACATGAGTGTGATCAATAGAGATCTTGCAATCAATTTGCGAGATAGCACCGCAGGCGCGATCAAAAACCCGAATCAAGACATGAAAAAGTCTACCGTATTCGAAGTCACCGTGCCCTTATCGCTTGATCTTATACGGACTTCGAGAGCGCCCGAGTCCAGCACCGCTACTTTTGAAAACATCATTGCTTTGCGTAAAGTTCAAATTGACACAGTTAACGACCTGGCTGCTCTTACGCGGGAAATTAGCACATACGATTCGTCTCTCTCCGCAGCTCAAGACATAATCATGTCCATCTACAGCTGCACTGGAGATCTCCAGATTGCAAGCTTCTGGCTTGTCCTCAACATGGTCCGAGAGGCAATAACTTCTCCAGGAGCAACCATAGACGACTTTTTCACCTTTGGAAATGGCTCATCTGATGCCAAGAAAGAACTCCTTGAGCAGCTTTACGATTTTTCTATTTCAACATTATCAGATACCCCCGGAGCTAAGGAAACGGACTGGCGGCTGCAAGCACTCGCGCTGGAAACTGTGGCGCTACAGGCGACACAATTGAAAGAAGCTTTTCGTGGGGAGCTCATCGATACTCTTTACCCTGTACTGCATTTCCTTGGCTCTGGGAACTCATCGCTTCAAAACCATGCTATGACTACTCTGAACATCATTACACGTTCTTGTGGCTACTCCAACTGTTGTGACCTCATCGTTGATAACGTTGACTACCTTGTCAATGCGGTGGCTCTGCGTCTTAACACCTTCGACATATCGCCACAAGCGCCGCAAGTACTGCTCATGATGGTGCGTTTAGCTGGCCCTACCCTCCTTCCGTATCTCGATGATACGGTGGAAAGCATTTTTGCTGCGCTGGAGTTCTTCCACGGTTATCCGAAGTTGGTGGATCTATTGTTCAAGGTTCTGAAGGTTATTGTAAACGAAGGTGCTAAGGCAGATCAGCTAGCCATTACGGATGGTCGACAAGAAGGTGATTTCAGAAAAAACAGGCAAGAAGTTACGTCGATCGACCGACTGGTTTCCTTAATTCACGAAATGCGCCAGCGATCTGCAAGCAAAAATGGAGATGAAGACGGAGCCGAGAAATTCCCTCGCAAGCCGTGGGGAGAAAAGAGGAAGGATGAGATGGAAGATGGCGATTATGATGCCGCAATTGAAGAGCCCGAAGATAAACCGCCAGCTCCACGGACTTACGCGATCCTCTTGAATATATCCAGGTTGACGCAGCATTACCTAACGGTGTCTTCTTCGGACCTACGAAATTCCTTGTTAGATCTTCTTTCGGTAGCGATTCCTGCGCTTGCAAGGCATGAAAACTCTTTTTTACCACTTATACATACACTTTGGCCTGTTTTACTTCCACGAATCTCGGATGCAGAACCATATGTTGTGTCTGGGAGTTTGCGTCTTATTGGTTTATTTTGTAAATATGCTGGGGACTTTATGACTGGAAGGATAGAAGAGGCTTGGCCGCAGATCCGCAAAATATGGAAAACCAGAACGGGTCGAGCTGGAAATCCGGGGTCGCAGACGAAGCGTGCAGGCGAAACTTCAAACTCCATATCTTTTTCTTCAATCGCCACTTCTGGGGGGACGAAGAAGATGACTCAAGAAGGAACTACACAGCCGCATTATGTCGACGCACCCTCAAGGATCATCTGGGATGGTCTCGTTTGCATGCTAGTCGATATTGTCACTCACACAGCAATAAATGATGCAATATTCGACGACGTGGTGGAGATGCTTTCGCCAGTTCTCACATCAAAACCAGAAGTATACAAGGCTCTTGAAATGAGGAACGCTGACGCTGTATGGCTTGCCTTGTTCAGGCTTGACCGGGAACAGCTCCAGAGATCACAGGTCGGTGTCGATTTGGCCGAAGATTTTGAATTGACTGTAACACAGTCAAATAAACTACTGGCTACTTCTGAATACAATTGGGCTGCGCTGCGCTGAAGCGGCTTAACTCTTCGCCTCATCCAACCTTGCCAAATCAGGCTTATTTCCGGAATTGATCAAGGCCCTAAAGCGAACATTAACCGTCTCTATAACCTGCAGCTGCACTACCACAATTTTGAAAGTGAAGAATGTTGTTTGCGCGAACCGCCGTTTGTGTGACGTCTTTGTCCGCAGTCTATGGCGCGATGTGGCTCATCACAAACATGGGACAACATGTTCCGTCGGACGAATCTTCTTAGTAACGACAATCAATTGCGACCTTGGCACAAGGAGGCAGGGCGATGAAATACAATATGTAAATGAGGCAGACGAGTGGGTAACCTTCCTCAGGAAGCCCGTCACGCGCGCTCTGCAAAGGATAGAACGAGCACTTCGAGATAGCTCAGGATATAAATCAGACATTGGCGAAGTTGACAGCAAGTTCCTTGCATAGTTTCTTACTCGGGCATTTCCACAAATTTTTCCACAATTGAGTTATATCACCGAAAGGACAAAGCTGAAGGACCAAGCTGACGACAAATTTATTCTACATTTGCGTTTGGTGTTAGATACGGACTTGGGAACAAACGGCACTCATCTCCGTCTCTGATGTGCTTCCACGAATACACACATTTCCAGCTCTGCCCTCACGATCCTCCGTGCGTGGCCAGTACGTACCTATTGACGAGTCAATAGCCGGGAGAGACCAGCTGACGCACTCGCAGTGCACACTCACCAGTGTGGAAGATGCGACAATCCAATGCTTTTGATCTTCTGTCCAGCATACGACACAAAACGAGTGGTAAAGAATGACGTATGTCCTAATTTGGGCATTATACCAGTTCCTCGTGCTGCCGAGGGACGTGGTGGGTTGACTGGTTCCATGACGAGAGGTGTTGGCAGGCATGAGTAGTATTTCCGGGTAGCAGCTGCATGGTTAGTCCGTTCAGAGCTCGCAAGGAATCCGATTCCCCCGCTAATTTCACGGAAAAGCGTACGTGGAAGATGATGTAGTCTTGATTTGATGCATTGAAGAATTATCAGATCCATATGAGCTTCGGAGGCACGTGGCACGTGCTTGCAGATCGTTACATTGACCATTACTGCCAATGCTTTTCGCATTAGCGGGTATCATACAATAATTCAGCGGCATAGAACTATGCGAAGCAAAAAATCCCTCAATCGATCACTGTTTAACCTTAGGTTTGGGTCTTCTCAGCGGATGTGCCTCGGTGTTGCTAAACTTGCATTAGCTTGTGCGTGTTTGGAATCTCACATGTGACTTACAAGACGAAGTCGTCCAGGCTTAGTAGATCCGGCTCGCTAAAAATCAAGTAAAAATACCTTGAACGCATCAGCAGCCGCCATAGGCTCAAATCGGTGATTCAGATACACACTTCAGAGTCTCTGCCATCCAGAAAGATTCTTGTTGGTCCACCTTGCTAGGCGGGTTCGTCATCACGTTCGACAAGGCCGCGAACGAGAGATCTGTCTCAGTCGCTCGTTTTATAGCGGCAAACATGTTCCACGCGACTTCTTGATATTTCCGGTCGCCAGTAATGCGGTACAGGATAAAGACCGATTCGATAGCCTCCGGCCTGATTGGTCGTGAGTGAGGATGAACAGACACGGAGTCAAAGAAAATTGACGTACCTTAGGATGTATCGCGCGTCTCTAACATCTGTAAAGCCCTTTGGGAGCTTCATGCGCTCGATGATCAACTTAGCATGCTCTTCATTTGTGCTTGGTTTGATGCTTGAATCTATGGATGGACCGTGATATAGCACGCCATCGTACCATTTCCCCTCGTCCCATGGGCAGTTTTCAGGGTCGGCACATGGCCATGTTCGAAAAAGTTCTGGCATGATGCCGTTTGGCGAAACTTGGTAAGCCCAGATGCAACCATCGACGAGCTTCTTTGCTACGAGCAGGTCGTTTGGCCGTTTAAAAATCCTTGCACCGATCCCTAATAGCCCCCCGACAAAGCAAGTGAGGTGCTGGCCTTCTGGATCGAGTTTGTAGTCCCCATTCACGAGCTTACGAACGGTTCCAGATATCAGGATATCTCGGCTCTTATCAGGAATCATGGGACGGAAGAAAAGGTGCTTCTTCGCAGCAGCGACAAACTTTTCGTACATTGTCTGGTATTGGACCAAGGTCCCCCCTAGCATCAGATATTCCTATGGCCATGTAAGCATCAAATGCCGAAACGAAGCGTCACAACTTTCACCTTGAGAATGTACTCGTACAGTGAATCCGCCTTACCGCCGAGCGTGAACGTGTTGTCGCTAGTAAAGTTCAGATTTGCCGCATCGAGCATAACAGGCCAGAGTCCAGGGATGCCTGTGAGCTCTTGTTGTCGTTCTAGCTCATCCGAGATCCGCTGCACGGCATCGAAATACTTTGGATTTCCCGTAAGCTGGGACAGTCTGGTGAACTCTAACGTTAAGGAGCCAATTTCAGCAGCCAAAGCATGCGAAGGAGCTTCTTGCGGGAACTGCGCGGCAGCACTGTAAAAATGAGTCGCGGCCCTGTGGCATATGATCCTCGTGCTACTCACCTCTCCCAATACCAGCGCGTAACTGGAAAACGGTTGGGCGTGTCGAATGCAGCGTACAGCATGTCACCCAAATCGGTGGCCTTTTCGAGAAGGACTGGGTACTTTTCGCCGGAGAGGTCATAGGCGCTCAGCAGCCCGCCAAGGTACCGGATTGTCGTTTCGAAAACGTTGAGCTTTTCACGTGACGCTCTTGTGAAGTCAATTCTGTGCAAGGCGTTGACGGCCTTGGAGAATTCTTCTTCCATGCCCATTATCCACAGCGTGTCTAGTGCGTCCACAAGTGTGGCCCCCCAGCCGCCGAAGGTTTCTTTCGAGAGTCCAGTGAGGGGTGTCACCTCGTCTTCAAGCCATGCATACTTCTCATAGGCTCTCCATGACTTGATAAAAGCATCCTTGACAGCCTTTTGTCTCTTCAGACGCCAGGATTGCCGCTCACCGGACTCGTTTGGAAATACCGCCTGAATGTCCGGGATTTCAGCGGGTTCCTCGGTGGGAAGAGTGAGATACGACGTCAAGGGGAATACTTCTTTCCGTAATCTCCATGAGATCTTCCGACGCAATCCATAAGAAGATTTGCTGATGAGGCTTGATGGTTCCCATTTCGTTTCGTAAAGGCGGTAGAAGATGAAGAGACACAGTAGCGCTGCTAGACCAGTGATGCTCCATCGCCGGATCAAGCGACTCATGTTCGCTCGACCATTCGCCTCTAGGTTGGCTCCGACAAATCCTAGGCTATATCTCAATCTCGCGCAGAAATTACTAATCTCTTTAGGTTTTCAAAATTGGAACAAAATTCGTAACCGTTGATTTGACAAACTCCGACGTGCTCTCCTTGAGGAAACGCCAAAACAGGCATGGTGAGAAATCATGGAAGTCATGCACGTGACTCCAGCCATTCTTTCACTTGCAGAGCAACATGGCAAAGTTAAAAGACGTCACTTTACCAATATCGGTGAGTTACCTTGGAGCTTTAGATCAACAGTTCTGCGAGCGGAGATCGATCAATTTTGCTCTCAATTTGGCTGATTCATTGCTTACCATCGTCACAACTGCTTCTTCGTCAAAGTAACTAGCCATGTCAACTACGGCCGTGTAAGCATCCCACCCCAGGCGCAGCACGATTTGTCTGATGATAAAAGAATATGTCTATCCATTGATCTGCAACATGCTCAAGAACTTCCCTCTATCAAGGAAAAGGTTCTCTCTAAATATCCCACAGCTACGCCCCACGTTTGGGGACTGAGCCTGAGATCGCTGCGTTCGACAGCGACTACGCCTGATGGCAAGCCCTCGTCTGACACGCAGTACGTCGTTCGGGCGTCTCACTTCCACGAAGAGACGATCCTGGCGATCGACACCGGAAAAGACTTCTCTACAGTCTCGATCCCTTCGGAAGAGGGGGATCCGTTTGCCAAACTGCTTACGGAGAAGTTCAACACGCTTTGGGTGATGAAAATGCTGCTCGCCGTCGTAAACGGCACGTCCTACGAGATAGACGGCGTCACCATCCGTCTAGGCGAGCTACGTGTCCCCGGACAGGCCCAGACTGTTCGGGGTCTGCTGTGCTATGCAGCGTCATCTCTTCCTCAGGAAAAGATTGCCAAGGCACTCGTGACCAACGTGGTCGAGAGTCTCGGGTTCGCAGAGGCGAAGAAAACGTACAGGACATGGCCGAGCAAGGAAAAGGCTCAAGAGATTCGACTGTGGTGCGATGCCTTGAGCCAACGACCCTAGCCGCAGTGATCGGCAGCAGATTCAGAGAGGCAGCTTTTTGCGGCGCAGCCCTTCTCCTCCACGTCGAGCCGACACGGTGGGTTGATATCGAGCAAGAATGAGCCAAAGTGGCGATTTCGCGATTAGGAGTTTGCACCGTTTTTTCTAGCTAAAAGGCGGGAGATCCACGTGTGCTCTGGCTCCGGCTCTGGCTCTGTGAAAGGTGCCCAGCGATCCAGACGAGATGCACACACACACATATATATATATATATATACACCCGCACACCTACACTGTCGGCCGCAGCCTGGATGTTCCGTCGTCGACGTCGCGCCATCATTGTCGCATTGAAGATTTATCATTCGGCGCTCGTCCGCCCGCCCGCTAAATGATGGGGCAGGGATGCTGAGTAGCTACCTGGCGCTTCGTACCCGCAGCAAGAAAAAATCCCTGCCGATGACCGAGGGTCTGGTCAAGGTACCAAAGAGCCAGCCTGGTACTGACGCTCGCCGAAACTGATCAAGGTTCAATGGCAAATATTCCCAAAAGGCCGAAGCTTGCAGCTCCCCCCCGATCTGCGCAATCGAAGTCCTACTTCTCCGCACGATGATGACAAGCGAGCCCCATATCAGCATGCGAACTGCAGGACATATGGTTTTGGGCGACTTGAGTCATGGGCAGCTTTTCGTCAAAAGTGTAATCTCACCAATTGCCACATGGTCTTGCACCAAAACGTTGCGTGTCAGGAGTAAGGCTAGCCGGTTTTGCTTTTTATTTTAAGGAACAAGAACAAAAAAAAAATCAATACGTACATATATGCATATCTTTTCTTATACCTGCCCTCATCTCAACGCACGCAGCACCACATCGTCATCCGGTCTTTGGAGCACAATCAACAGCTGGTGGGTTTGATGCTGCATGCGGCTTGCGAATCCGCGAGCCGTCCATTGAGATCCCACGAACTTAGCTGCATGAAGAATAGCGACTACATGTATGGTGCCATATTCTCCGAGAACGCTTTTTACCGCGTGGCAGGTACATTCTAAGATTTGATTCCATACGGTCCACCTTCCCAATTTTGAACGCAAGTCGATAGTTGGGTTGAGTGTCCGCCCGTCCAACGCTTTACGTACCCGTCCATGCGCGAACGCCAACGAGCACGTAGCGATCCACCCGTGAACCGTGTGTATGGCGCACTCCTTCGTAGGGAGTGCCTTTTGGTGCTCAGAGGCTTGCTTGGCTGCTCGAGTAATGAAGTGCTCGTTCGCAACGCTTGATGCCGACCTTTTTTTTTTTTTACAGCACTAATTACGGGAGCACAGCGTGGATCTTTTGGCCAGAGATCTCGATTGCACACGGTTGAACACGAGCTCACCGTTCTTTTGACGGGTTCGCAAAGGGGCTCGACGAGTGTAGCGTGACTTTTTGCACAATTTTGGCGTAAGGGTCCACGAGCATGACACCATGCGAGCGATGAAGCGACTGTTGAGATAAAACGGACATGCTAGCACAGCGCATACATGCAAGCACCACGAGGCCGGAAATATTACGAGCGGGCTTTGGGGTGAGTTGACAAGCCTCCCGCCAGGGCAGGCGGCGCGGTTCGGTAAAGAAAAGGAAGGGGAATAAAAAAAAGAAAAGGAAAAATAAAATTCGGGCTGCGAAGGTACCACAGTACAGCACTAACTAGCGTAGCCCCAGAAACGTGCGTGCTGAAAGAGTCAGCTACGTGCAGATCTTAGCCTGGGGTGGGCCGCACTATTTCAGCGCCGAAAGAAGAAGAAGAAGATTCGGTTTCAGCAGAGCAAAGAAAACAGGCATTGGCGGGGGAGGGACAGGTGCATGACGAGGACGGAAGCGGGTTCCATGGAATGGACGGTCGGGAGGGCGTGCTCGGCGGTGGCCAGAAAGGACGCCGACTCGCGCTCAAGGGCGAAGGCTGGAGCTTGGGCGAGGGCGGAGGGCGTGAGCATCGAGTGCGTGCGAGTGAGTTCAAGTGCGTGCGAGGCCGTGAGCGAGCGTGAGCGTTGAGTGGGCGTGAGCGAGCGTGAGCGTTGAGTGAGCGTGAGCGTGCGTGAGTCTTCAGGCGGAGAAGACGCAGTTCAGTTCCGTTGGCCAAAGCTCTTGCGGCCGCTGAAGCCACCGGCCCAGCCCACCCTTGGGCTCCACCGCGCTGATTCGCCAACCGCCAGCGCCACGCGCTCTCGATCCTCCGGGAGGTCCTTCAGACAGGGAACGCGCGCTCGCACGAGGGCTTGACCACGCCCTCGCATCCCGGCCGAACGCCGGCATGGAAAACAATAGCGACATCATCCCAGGTCCGGCCTGCACAGAGCCCGCTCTCCTTGTGCCCATGTGTGTCTTCCAGCCTGCCCGTGGTGAGCCTGTGGTGGTGCACCATGTCCGACCCAAGCTCGCATTAAACTCTACTTGTCCCAGCCCTGCCTGCGAACCTCAGAGCCCGCCTTCAGAACGTCCCTGCAGTGAGCAACGGCTTAGCTAAACCCCTTCCAGTCTCTACATGGCTAATCCAGTCCGGTTTGGTACTTAAAAGAGAATACAAGCTCGTTCCCGCGGGCGCCCTCCAACCCCCCCCCCCCCCCCCCCCCCCCCTCGTACGTCGTTAAAGGTT